TCCTGCACCAGCCTCACAATGGTTCCTATGCCTGAGCCCATGGTGGCAGCGACTGGGTCAGTCCACCTCTTTGTCGCCGCCCCTCCACTTTACCGAGCATGATGTCCTTCTCCAGGGACTGGTCTCTCCTGACAACATGTCCAAAGAATGCAAGATGAAGTCTTGACCTCCTTGCTACCAAGGAGCACTGTGGTCATACTTCTTCGAAGACAGATGGGTTTCTCCTTTGGGCAGGCCATGGGCCTGTCAGTATTCTTCTCCAGCGCCACATTCAGATGCACTGATTCTTCTATCATCTTCCTCATTCAGTGTCCAGCTTTCACGTGCGGATGAGGCGATGGGGGATACCAGGACTCAGGCCAGGGGCACCTTAGTCCTCAAAGTAGCATCACTGTTGCTAGGTGCTTTCCCAGAGGCACAGCAGAAGGAAACCCCGCCCGGCCCGCACCATCCTCACAATCGGTGCTATGTCCAAGCCCATTGTCCCAGCCCCTGTGCCACTCCATCTGGTTGAGGGTCTTCCTCCTTTCTAGCTGCCCCTCCACTCTCCCGAGCATGATGTCCTTCTCCAGGGACTGGTCTCTCCTGACAACGTGTCCAAAGCATGTGAGACTGATGAATCTGGATCTTTTTTTTTAGACCTTTTCTTCATCTTATTTATTTTATGAAAGTTTTATGGGCATACCTTACACATTCCAATATATTCATTCACATCCACATGTTGTTCAATCTCATTGGGTGGGGGTGTTCAATCATCGATGCTATCTGCCCCCCTCCCTTTCCCCCTCCCCCCTCCTGTACCCTCAGGGAACAACCACTCCTGTCACTGTCTGGGGTGGGGGTGGGGTCACCCATCTTGACCTTCATGTACCGATGGATCCTCAATATGCAAGTGAACATACGCAGATCTAAGGTGAACAATAAGGTAAAGCATGTGAACACCTTCGTAGGGAGGGGAGGGACGGTTAAGGAACTGGAGGAGAGTTAGGTGGTTCGTCAGTGCTGGACTGCACCCGGGCTTGTATTTTTAAGGGGAAGGGGTGAGACTGGGAATGAGAAAGACAATGAGTGAATGAGTTGATCTTGCTGCCATTCTGTGGGCATGACGCCACCATCTCTACACCACTCTCACTCTCTCTACCTTCTGAATAGGGTTCTAGTATAGAAATACAGAAGCAAAACAATCAAAGCCCAACTCACTCCCATCGAGTCAATGGTGACTCACAGAGACCCTAGCAGACAGGGTAGAGCTGCCCCTGTGGGTTTCTGAGACGATGCCTTTTTACAGCAGTAGACAGAGTCCAGCTTCTGTACATAACGCGGTCACAGCCCCCAGCCTACTCAAGATCATGGTGACCTCTGGGGTGGTGGTCCTTGGTCCAAAGCTCTACGAGGAGGAAACAGAAGTCTCTGCATTGGTGCAGCACCCAGGGAAAGTCCTCCTGCCGCCCAAAGACCAGACTACAGCAGGGGGTGAAGCTGGCAAGAGCCGCCTGGAAGGCAAAGCTGCGATTTCCAATAAAATCACCAGTTGTATTTTTCAGTTGTTACAGGACGCAGGTATCAAAACTGCTTTCACCAAGACACAGGGGGAAACGGCTTTCATTGCCCCCAGTGTGAAACGATTCCCATGGAGAGGAATAGCAACTGCTGCTTTTCTCAAAAGGAACCCTGGCGTCAAGGAAGGCTAAGAGTTGTACCCACCCAGAGTGGAACTGTTTTTCAAGGATGATGTCAATAAGGACCCACAGTGATCTGAAGAGCAGCTAATTGCTGCCAAACTTTGCTTTGCTGGACTTGAGATAGGTCAAACTGAAGTGGATATCCTGAATCATGCCACACAGGCCATTTTTGAAACACTGGAAAAGTCGTGGTTGCCCCAGGCCTGTACACTGGTTGGCATGAAGATTGAATTTGGTGCTGATGTCACCACCAAAGAAAGTGTTCTTGCTGATGTTATTGATAACGATTCCTGGAGACTCTGGCCATCCAGAGATCGAACCCAACAGAAGGACAAGCAGTCCTATCGTGACCTCAGAGAAGTAACTCCTGAAGGGCTGAAGATGGCCAAGAAAAATGTTGAGTGAGTTGCACAAAGAGTAGAGCTGCTTGTGAAATCACAAAGTCAGTGCAGGGTTGTAGTATTGATGGGCTCGACCTCTGATCTCTGTCAGTGCGAAAAAATCAAGGAGGCTTGTGGACATTTTGGCATCCCGTGTGAACTTTGAGTAACATCTGCCATGAGGGCCCAGATGAAACTGAGGATTAAAGCTGAGCATGAAGGGATGGCATTCCTACTGTCCTTGTGGCGGTAGCGGGCAGGAGCAATGGTTTGGGACCAGTGCTGTCTGGTAACGCTGCATGTCCAGTGATGAGCTGTCCTCCGCTCACACTCGACTGGGGGGCTCAGGGCGTGTGGTCTCTTCAGCTACCCAGTGGTCTCGGCTGTTCGACTATACTGTCTCCAGAAGCATCAGCTCAGGTTGCTGCCCAGATCTTTGTCTCGAACAATCATTTGGTATGGGCCAAACTGCGAGGAAGCATCTTGAATACGTGGATTTCCTTGAAGCAGGCTGACAAGAAAATCAGAGAATGTAGTTTATGGGAACACCATAGTGCTTATTATGAGAAAACTACAAGTTCCTAATTTAGCTCCAGGGGGAAAAAAATCATGTAAAGTGGAAAAATTCTAAGTTAGAGAAAGATGAAATGTATTGAATAAATAGTTCTCTAGGAAAAAAGAAAGAAAGAAAGCCTCATCTTTCTCCCAAGGAGTGGCTGATGGTTTGGAACTGATGACCTTGCAGGTAGTAGCCCAACGGGAAACCACTGTCATCAGTCGTTCCATGGAAGAATGGAATTAAAAGGTAATGGAATTTTTCCCAGGGACTTTTTGGAGCCCCCTCACATACATCAAGAACCATTTGCCGAGCAGCCAACATGTTGGAAACAGTGTTCCAGGCAGTGCCTGCTAAAAGCTTGAGCGCCGGGCCCTTTGGGGGGAAAGGAAGTTTCTGCTGTGTCCTTGAATGCCAACACCACGTGGTTTAGTGGCCATGTTCTCCCTCTGCGTGTACCCCTTAGTGACAATAAGTGACATGGCTCTTCCTTAGTGACATGGTTCTCCCCCCAAGTCCCCATCCTCAAGACCTTATGAGGGCTAGGGACAAAAAGCAACCTCATGTCAGGACTCTCCTGGTCTGCTGGGTGAAGTCCCCTGCTCTTTCAAGAACGTATCTGAGGGAGCTTCTAAATAATGATGGAGAGATTCCATTCTCTTTTAACCCGATTTTTACATAAACTTCTTGAGGTCCCTTTGTATAACATATACTATAAGGTCCATGTTTTTGTGGTGGTAAACATATGTGTGTATGTATTCTCTTTACCATTTTCACATACTTCTGTGTACACTTGACTGACATCTATCATGGGTGCTGTGTTGTTCAGCCAGCACCAGGATCAGCCCCCAGGTGTTCCCCTCACCCTGAACAGAAGCTCAGTGTCCCCTTAAATGTGGAGCTGCCCGCCCCCTCCCCCTGGCCCCATCCTCTCCCTCCCACCCTCCACTGGTAACCACTGAGGAGTTTCAACTGTGGCCACTTGCACATCCTAGATATTTCAACCAGCATGTTTCCAAAGGGCATCCATGTGGTAGATGGATGTATCAGAATTCCATTCATCTTTACAGCTAAGGAAAGACTCCATTGTATGTGTGCACCATCAAAGCCCAACCCATGTCTTTCAAGTTCATTCCCACTCATAGCGACCCTAGCGGACAGCGTAGCGCAGCCCCCTGGGGTTTTGGAGGCTGGAATCTTTGCCGAAGCAGACTGATGAATCTTCCCTGGAGCAGATGGTAGGTGTGCAGCACAGGCACTTCTATTAGCGGCCAAGCACTTAACTATCTTGCTCCCAGGCCATTGCTGTATGTACGATCCTTGGACCTTCCCCTTTGCCATTAAGTGGATTCCGACTCATAGGAACCCTATCTTTCTCCCAGGGAGCAGCGGGTGGGTTGAAATTGCTGACATAGTCAGCAGCCCACTGCGTAGTCAACTAAGCCACCAGGCCTCCTGGCATGTATCAACACGAGGTCCTTAATGGCTATCTTCTGCATGTTCAGCAGAGGACCTAAAGAATCACTGTTATCTTGTCTATCCTAATGTCACTGACTACCAACTCTAAACCAAGCTCATTACCATCAAGTCAATTCTAACCAAAGCGACCCGACAGGACAGGGTAGAACGGCCCCTGTGCGTTTCCAGAACGTAACTGTTTACAGGAGTACAAAGTTTCATCTTTCTCCCACAGAGTGACTGGTGGTTTTGAACCACTGGCATGCAGATAGCAGCCCATAGACAAGGTGCCTCTTCCTCTAGCAAATCCTTGCTCATTTCTGAGTAGCATTCCCTTGCCCTCTAAAACAACCGAATGCAGTAGAAAGAATATAGAGTTGAGAATCAGAAAGGTAGAGCTTTGAGTCCAGGGACCCTGGCCTTTCCCAAGAAATGTGCAACTTTGAGAATAGAGGCCTCCTCGCCTCTCCAAGACCCAGATCTCTATCTGAAAACCAGCCTAATACATCAATTCTGCTAGAGGCGTATGATAATATGACTGATGGTCCTTCCTGTTGTTGCTGCTGGCCCCAGGGTGTACTGTAGCTCAGCTACAAGATTAGCAAGGCGTTCATTCATGTGGTGGCACAGTGGTTACACATTGGACTGCTAACCATAAGGTCAGTGGTTCAAAGCCCCCATCTGCTCCGAGGGAGGAAAATGAGACGTTCTCCTCCCTTAAAGAGTTATAGTCTCAGAAACTCACAGGGGTCCTTGTTTGCCTTACAGGGTCCCTATGAGTCCACATTCCCTCGAGGACAGTGAGGATTGGTGTGGGGGGGGGGGCTGGTGAGATACCAGCAAACATCTTGGGTTGCTTTGTTGAATGTTAATGACAGCCCACCACTAACTCTTCCCTCCCCCCACCCCATTGTGTGTTTACAGGGATACCATGGCTGAGGACCACAGTTGCCACCCTTGGGAGACTGGGAATAACCATGGCCTTTGAAATTGTTTATTTGGTAAATTCAGAACTGTATCCAACAACCTTACGGTAATTCCAATTTAAATATCACAGTTCCTCATAAGTCATCCACCCGCCAGATGTTTCAAGTTGGCTTAAGAATGATGGACTAGATCCCATGCCTTCGCCGCCTCCCAGTCTGGGCTGAATTAAGCAGTAAAGAAGATGCGCGTTGATTTATCACTGCCTTTTTGGCGTTGCTATTCATCACATCTTGTGAGAGAGGGCTTTCTGGTTTATGCTCAGCCCGGTAGTGTGGGAAGGCAGCACAGGCAGCGCCTCACTCGACTGCAGCTTGCAGATACGTCATTGTTTTACAAACGGAAGGTGTGCAACCACCCTGTGCCCAGCAAGTCTGTTAGCATCGTTGTTCCAACAGCTCATGCTTGCTTCACATTTCAGCGCCGTTTTGGCCATTCTCCAAAGATTTTGAACATTTTCATCATGCTATTGCCCACGGAAGGAGCCCTGGTGGCTTAGTGGTTATGCATTGGGCTGCTACCTGCAAAGTCTGCGGTTTGAAACCACTAGCCGCTCCATGGGAGGAAGATGAGGCTGTCTACCTCCATAAAGAGTTACAGTCCCAGAGACCCACAGGGGCAGTTCTACTCTGTCCTGTCAGGTCGCTGTGAGTTGGAATTGACTCGAGGGCAGTGGGTTTGGTTATTGGGGCTTTGGGTTTTTTAATTTCACTGCAGAACACAGCCTCCTGTCAGCATCACTCAGGCAATGTGTGTGACTCGTTGGCCGGTGGCTTTCCCTTTGGTGGGTGGTCCTGAAGGGAACCCCAGGTCTCCTCGAGTTCTGCCTGTGGATGTGGAATCAGAAGGCCTACTTAGCACACCTGTATGGGCCACAGGTTGAGTCTAGCCAGCACTGTGTCATGGTTTCAGCCTCTCCTCTAACCACATTCTGGGCCTTGCAGCCGGGGGCACTAAAAGGCAGTGCCAGGGCTTCCGTGGACCAATCCTGGCCAGGAGCATGGTCCCAGGGACATGAGTGTGGAGTGAAGGCCACAGAGCAGCAAAGTTGGGAGCTGCTGTTGGAAGACATCTTCCCACCCAGACCGCAGACACCCTGGGGACTCTCTCAGCCCAGGCGTGCCAACAGCCAGAGGAGACAGAGTCCCAGCAGCATAGGGGCAAGCGCAGCAGTACCCCAAATCAGGAATTACAGGATCCCTGGTGGTGTCGTGGTGATGCGTCGGGCTGTGATCTGCATGGTCGGCAGTTCAAAACCACCAGCAGCTCCTCAAGAGAATAGGGCCTTTCAACTCCTGTCAACAATTAGTCTCAGAAACTCACCGGGGTCCACTGTGAGTTTGATTTTTGGTTTAAAGATGTGACTAGATTTAATTTTACTTCTATGAGTGCATAGCTTGCCCTTCTTGAATTTATCTAATTCCTTCTTTCGTTTAATCTCTCTCTAGATATACATACACCTACACACGTGTATTTATTTTGTTTTACAGGAACTTTGGCGTGTCACTGTGTTCAGGATTGTGTGATTTTGGGGGGATCATAGCCCCCTTTCTGCTCTTCCGACTCGCAGCCATTTGGCTAGAACTACCTCTTATCATCTTCGGTAAGAACTCCAGTCAAATTGGCCATGACCGATCCCCAGTTAATCTTCTTATCCCAATAGTTTCTGGTGTGAGGCACCAATCTGATTCCAATAAAATCTGGAGACTGGTCAGTGCTGCTCACTGAGTCCACGTGAAAGGGCTCAGAGGGGCAGTGCGCACTTTGACCTTCTCCGTCTGGGTGCTAGTTCAAAGCCAAATCCTGTTGGGGGCCTTTTATAGATTCAGGGAACAGGGCCAATCATTCTCATGGGACCAGAGAGAACCTGTTTTGAAAACAAGTGTGAAAACCCATTGCATTTCTCAGTGTTCCACATTTATTGATGTTCTTCATCGGTCTGCTTTGGTGTTAAAGCGCCGTGCTGAAAGAATTGGGGACACAGATTCTCTTAGAGATAGGCCATAACCTTATTCGTACCTTCCTCCCCACTCCAAACTTCATGGGCCTCGTCAAAGGATAGAGAGAATAAGAGCTTGGTGAGGAAGCTTGAAGGTGATTTTATCCAATACTAACCAAGTGCTGATACAACATTGCTACCTGGACCACACACCTTCCTCTCCCCACTCAGCAGCAAAGGACACTGTTGGCCTCTGCCTTATTCTGCCTTCCCCCAGGTCCACTCCCTGTTCTTTTGATAGGGAGTGGTTTGTATTTGTTGCTCCGAAGTTCAATTTGAATAAAAACGCTCAGTCCAGGAGGACATACTACATAACTAATGCACGCAATGGCCATGGGTCATAAAGCTCAGGGCTCAAAGAGCCATTGCTCGACAGTCAGATCTAGGAGATAGATCCTTTGGCTGGACTGTGGATGAGAGGTGGGGAGCCAGGTGCGATCGCCCCAGACAGTCCCTTACTTCTCAGAGTCTGCTTAGGGAGAGAGCCACGCTTTTAAAAAACCCGGTCATTTTGGGGGCAGTTATTCGGTGACATCAAGTCAGTTCTGACTCATAGCAAACTTGTGCACAAAAGTGAAACGCTGACTGGACCTGCGCTGTCCTTCCTGCGGGCGAGCCCAGCGTTACAGCCACTGCGTCAGTCTATCTCGTTGAGGGTCTTCCTCTTTCTCAGGGTCCCTCTACTTTACCAACGGCGGTAAAGCCCCTTCTCCAATGCCTGGTCCCTCGTGATGACATGTGTGAAGTCTCACCACCCTCACTTCTAAGGGGCTTCTAGCTGTCCTTCTTCCAAGGCGGATTTGTCCCTTCTTCTGTCTAGCTGGGTGCAGAGCCACGCTTTGCAAAACTCAGCTCCGATTGAGGGTGATAAATGCTCACATACTGAAAAGAAAGGGCTCTGTCAGAGCAGATCACAGGGTCCCCTGGTCTAGCTGAGTCAAAGAGGGGCAAATCAGAGAGAAGAGAGTAATAGGTAGGTTGAGATCTGAGATGAATGGAAGCTCCCCAAGGGAGAGGTAGGGGGTGGTACCCCGGGTCAGGGAAAGGCCTACATCAAGAGGAAGATGTGTCTTCAGGCAACCAGGAGGCTAAAAGGTCGAGTGCTGTGTGTGGGGTGGAGCCAGGAGCCAGTGAGGCTGGAGAGATAGACAGAGAGGAGCTAGGTTACAAAGGCTGTTGTTTTTTATCCTGAAGCATTTAAGTTGGGGGTGACTACCACATTTGAATTTTAGAAATATAATTCTGATGACAGACAGACAAACGGAGAAGAGGGAGCAGCAGAAGGCAAGGATTCAGCTAAGGAGAGTAGGAGGAAGACCAGAAAGGATGGAATGGCAGCCAAGGGAAGGCGGGCATGTTCACCAAGCCAGTGATGCTTCAAGCCTGGTGCAGTGAGGACCACCGGATCAGACTCTCTTTACCGAGCATGATGTCTTTCTCCAGGGACTGGGTCTCTCCTAATGGCATGTCCAAAGTACTTGAAAGTCTTGCCACCTTCATTTCTAAGGAGCATTCTGGCTAGACTTTGAAGTTATTTCTGTCCATTGTCCTGGAGAGACCAGTCCCTGGAGAAGGACATCATGCTTGGGAAAGGGGAGGGGAAGCTGCAAAGAAGAAAGCCTCCGGCCAGACGGATGGACACAGTGGCTGCAGCCATGGGCTCACCTAGAACGATTGTGGGAATGGCGCCGACCATCAGGGATTCCTTCTGCTGCAGATGGGCTGGCTAGGGGTTGGAACCACCTCGGTGGCACCTAACCAGAATTGGCCCTTTTAGGTGGACACACTGTTGCACGGTTCCGCTCGATTTGTCATTCTGTGACGTGATAGCAGGAGCTTGGCATGTCCAGGTGTCCACCCCAGCACAAAGGAAAAGACCCTTGACAAGATGGATGGGCACAGTGGGTGCGACAATGGGCAAAAACAGAACAATCGTAAGGCTGGTGCAGGACCAGGGAGGGTTCCAGTCTGCTGAGCATGGGGTTGCTGTGAGTCAGAACCACCTGGACAACACCTAACAATGACAACAACACACCCCAGAGCCAGCAGACGCCGCAGGGCAGGGCCTCTCCAGGGAGCAGCTGTTGGCCATTTGCCAGCACCCCACTTGGCTGTACAGATGTGGCGAGAGCGGGAGCTGCCGGGGTTCTCCTGAAGCCTGGCTCTAAAAACAAACAGAGGGGAACATATGGTTGAGGGTGGGCGCATCAAAGAGGAGAGGGTGGGTGTCTCTGGCTGTTGTTGGGGAGATGCCCTTAGGTCGAAGATGCTGGAAACAGATATTCATCACTCATGGACTCTTAGAAGCACCAGGGGAATCGAACCCACTGCCCCTGGGTCCATCCTGACTCAAACCAACCCTACAGCACAGGGTAGAACTGCCCCAGCACGGCCTTTCCAGAGCTGTCAATCTCTACAGAAACAGCCGTCTGGGTTGTCTCCATTGGAGTGGCTGGCCCGTTCCAGTGCCAATCTTCTGGTTCACGGCTAAGTGAGCCAGCTAAGTGCTTCAGCCCTGAGCTAGAGGGCTTCAGTCACTATCCTGAGGCCCCGGAAAAGACTGGCAGAGGTGAGGGATCACCTTGGACTGACGCAGGGACTCCTTTTCTTTTCCCAGTGTAACACTACAGAAGGGAAAGGAAGGGGGTGGGGGTGCCGTTTGGTTATAATATTGGGAAAAGAAGGCAGAAGGATTCCTCGCTGGTGACTTCTATTTGCCCTGGGCAGCAGGAGAGGACATCTTTGTGAGATTATATGCTCTTAATGTCGGGTAGAGAAGTAAAAGCATGAGTGAATGCTGAGAGCATGGGGCAGTGGTGGGACACAGGTTTGGGGAAGGAAGAGAACCCTTGAATTCATGGTCCTGGAGAGCTGGTCAGGGGGAACAGAGGCCCGTGGATGGTTGTTGGGGCCTCTGGAAGATAAGTGAGCACAGCCACACCCAGAGTGGGGCGGGGTGGGGGGAGCCTGCTTTGTGGGTTTCCGTGGGTGGTATTTGTGGGCTCCCCTGAGTAGCACGTGTTCTCTACTTCGCAGGCATCCTGGCATCCCTCTGTGGCGGACTTGTCATGCTATTGCCTGAAACCAAGGGTATTGCTCTACCTGAGACTGTGGATGATGTGGAAAAGCTTGGCAGGTACTATGTCAAATTCAACGTACCCTAAACAAAACCACCGGGGAAGGGGAAGGAATGGTGTGGAAAAAACAGAGCATCCAAGGTTGGAGGAGTGGGGGGATACTATTAAATTCCTACCTTACATCCTAAACAAAACACTGGACGTTGATTAAAGGTTAACGAAAAGCTAGCACAAAAGGAAACTGTAAACCAAGTGCAATCTTTTTTAAATGATGTTGTGGAGAAGGAAGCATTTCTAAGTTGTTAAAACTCAGAAGCCGATGTCCAGGAAAGAAACATAAATAATACCTGATTCCTACTATAAGAACAACACTAAATGTACAAGTACCAACTAAGCCTGCCGTGTTGTTGTTGCTGTGCTTGTTAGAGACCATCAAGTCTGTTCTGGCTCAAAGCAACCCTCTGTACCACAGAATGAGACACAGCCGGTCCTGCACAAGCCTCACAATTGCTATGTTGGAGTCCCTGTGGCAGCCACGGTGTCCATCCATCTTGTTGACGGTCACCCTCTTTTCTCCGATGCTCCACTTTACTGAGCATGATGCCCTTGGCCAGGGACTGACCTCTCCTGACAGCATGTCCAAAGCACCTGAGATGAACTCTCTCCATCCTCGTTTCTAAGGAGCATGCTGGCTGTACTCTTTCCAAGACAGATCCGTTTGTTCTTCTGGAAGTCCGTGAACCTTTCGATGATTCACCAACACCCGAGTTCAAAAGCATCCCTTTGTCCACGGTCTCCCTTGTTCGGGGTCCAGCGTTCCTATGGTTATGAGACAATCGACCACACCTTAGTTTCAGGCACACTTTGTTTTCTGTCACTATCGGCCCTGGGAAAATGCTACCTCACCCCCAAATTGCTGGAGCTGCGGACACTTTCTTTTAAAGGTTGTACTGTTATTACATCACTTCTGCCACCTTTGTTCATTCGCGTCAGCGGCTTCACTCCAGAACCAGGTGTGGCTGTGGCAGCTGTTGTCGGTGTCATCTGATCAGTTCCAACTCAGCATCCCTGTACGCAGCAGAAGGAAACCCTGCAGCTCGTACTCCATCCCCACAATTGTGATGTTTGGTTGCACAACACCTCTTTTGAGTGTTGAAAAACAAGGCGGTTATGATTGTGGCTGCAGGTGACCTGACCGAAGTCCCCCACCAGCCCCCACCCTGGGGTTTTCAATATCCTCCTATGCATGTGAACGTTGGACACGGAATAAGGGAGACCTAAGGAAAACCGATGCATTTAAACTATGGCGTCGGTGAAGAACATTGAAAACACCATGGAATCTCAAAAAACGAACAGATCTGTCTTGGAAGAAGTACAGCCAGGATGCTCCTTAGAGGCAAAGATGGGGACACTTTGTCTTACATACTTTGGTCATGTTATCAGGAGAGGCCAGTCCCTGGAGAAGGACATCATGCTTGGTAAAATGCTTGTTCTGCCCTCAACAAGAGGGGCAGACACAGTGGTAAACGGTGTGTTACTCAGTAGGAATCCATAAAGAACTGCCACTGCTATGGTGCTAATGAACAGCATCTGTCCAGGAGCCCCTGAGTGGCACACATGGTTCCACACACAACTGCTAACCAAAAGATTGGAGGTTCAAGTCCACCCAGAGCTGTCTGAGAAGAAAGGGCCTACGAGGGGGCCTCACGACGTTTGTGGGGAAATGCTGTTGCCTTTCCATTCTGTTTTTGTACGATCTTCATGTAGCCTCTATGTACTTCCAGAACGCACCAGACCTTGAACACCTGATGGGTCACAGTTCTCCTCTGCCACCCTCAATGTCACCACAAGTCAGAGCCGACGACATTTGTTTTTTAAATCCGAAAACGAACTTGGAGACTATTGTGTATTTATAGCATTCTGTTTTTGTTGCCTTTAAATTGGAGTTTTGTGAGACACCATGCAGGAGTGAGGAGCCTGGTAGCGCAGCGGTTAGGTGCTTTTGACTGCTAACAATCAGGTTGGCGCTGGACCTGGTCAGTTGCTCTGAGGGAGAAAGCTGGGGCAGTCTGCTTCTGGGAAGAGTGCAGCCTGGGAGCCCATCTGGGGAGGCCCAGCCAGGCCTGCAGGGCTGCTCAGCGTCAGAATCGGCCCAATAGCGATGGGTCTGGTCTCTGCAGGAGTGTCCTTGACCAGAGCCGGCGCCGACGATGCATGCTTACAAAGCGAGCGTCTTTGAAGCCCATGCTCTGCCCTTGGAAAGTAAGAATATTCTCTTCTTTTCTCTGTTTGGCCAGCCCGTATTCCTACAAATGTGGCCGGAAAAGGAAAGGCCAGGTCTCGAGCTCTCACCTCTGAGGCCCCTGCCAAAGACGGAGGAAAGGCGCTCTTGGGGCTGACACTGCCTGGAACGACGTGCCTTAGAGAAGCGTCCACGTCCGCCCCATCGGTGCCTGCAGTCCAAGCGCCCCGCATCCTCCACGAGACACGGGAATACAGCACTGCGTTGGAGCACTCTGATGTGTGATCCCCGGGACTGCTGGGAACACGTGCCACGTGGCCAATCTGGGCGCATGGTGCTCCCTGCCCTGTGGGGTTGAGCAGAGACATGGAAGCTTCCCATCCCGCTCTCATGCCAGCTGTTGGGGACAGCAGGTGTGCCAGTTGCAGGCCTGGTGCAGGTGACCATGTGCAGCACCCATCAGTTCTGATCCTGGCCTGAGGCTCTCCACGGAATCTTCTGAAGATTCCACAGAGGGAGGGGCGGTGGGGATCCTGCTAAGAAAGGGAAGAGAAGGGATGGACCCCAGGGCCTTGGACCCCGCAGCGCTGAGCCCCTGCTCCCTCTTCTTCTCTGAGATCTGTAAGCTTGCGTGGTACCTTCCTTCTCTCCCCACCATCTCTGTTGCACCTTGCACCCAGGTTTGCTGTAGCCGGTGTTCCCGCCAGAACAAGAAACCGTCTCTGTATGGCGAGGACTGGCTTCGTTCTTTATAACAAAATCAGGATTTCGTCCTGAAAGGATTCAGGGCAGCTTTGACCCATCTTGTAGCAAACCCATGTCTCTGTATTTAATGAACGAAACCCGGAGATCATGAGCCCACTGGTCTTCGATCTTAACAGCCGAGAGAGCTTTCCCTGACCTGTGGGAATTCTGCACTCCGAGGGCACCCATGCCCCCAAAGAGAATCCAGACAGTTCCCATTGAGTGTTTGGACTTGGTCCTGGTCTCAGGAAGGGGCTTACATTTTCATTTAAAGGAAAAGTGAACTATAGCCATGCTTAGGATAATTAGTAGCAGTTTTATATATGACTTTATAGACACTAACAAGAGACTGCGTCTTTTTTTTTGGTCACTGGGGCTTTGGGAATGGGGGGGGGGCGCGTACACACAGTAGGCTCTTTTCACGTGGCCCTCTGCCTGGCACGGGATGTTGGTCCCATTTGGGGATCCAGCATGCACACCTTGGGCAGGGTGTTTTCACGAATCCCTGTGCATGGTGGGCGGCCAAGCAAAATGGGCACCAAAGGGGAGTCTTACCAACAGGGCAGAAAGCCTCTCTGTGGAGGACCTGGGGCACTGTGGTGTGTGTGTGTGTGTGTGTGTGTGTGCACGAGTGTGCTCATTATGCCAGAACCTTTCAATTCCTTAAAGCACCCGAGAGCCCACTCCGACGGTTGTATTTTCCAATCAAATAAACCCAGACGCCGAGGCTCCCGTGCTGCGTCCACCCTTCCTTTGCAGGCCACCCTATTTCGGCTCCCTGGGCCCTTCTTCCTGCGCTCAGACGACCGGGGACCTTCTCCCTCTCACCCCCAGGTTGCCTTTTGAGGTGATATGTTGAGTCCCGAAACAGACAAACCAACAAATTAAATAGTCAAGGAGAAAAAACAACAAACCAACCCCACAGGCGTCCTTTCCCCCAGCCGGCCGGCCGCTGCTTATGTGCTGCCTGGGAACACCGTGCCAGTGTTCTGGCTGCTTTACGAGCAGCCGGGAGAGGGGGGCGGCCACCCGCTCTGTGTGCTCATTGTCCCTGGCAGGCCGCTGGCGTCACGCCTGGACTCAGATCTGACCCAGAATAACATTCGGACGAGTGGCTCCGTCTTGCATCACGCCTCCAGTGCGTCCCAGCACCCCCAGCGCTCTGCTCAGTGTCTGTCCCCTGGGCGCGACTCGCGTCAAGTCGTCAGGAGCGGATTTCAGACCCAAAAATAGAACTTGTAGTCATGACCCCCCCGCCCCCCCTCCACGTGGCAGCCCTGAACCCATTCCTCTCGGTGCCAGGAATAAAGACGTGAAAGGTGTGTGTGTGTCGAGCTGTCTTTAGTTGACAAGGTAAATGTACCAGGTGGCCTGTTAGCAATCAATTGTCCCTGTGACGGAGAGACGTGTTCATCCTCAGCCAGGGATGACCGTGGAAAGAGCCAGCACACTGCAGGTGTGCGAGCTGCCCTCTGGAACACTGGCTCTCCAGGGGCGGGGGCTGAATAAAGAATGCAGACGGGTTGAAGGTCGGAAAAAAGGTCAACTCAAGTCAAGGTCAGTTTGGTTTATTTTCAACAGAGGCCACACCTGTGCTTCCTTCCCGGCAGCCCATTGACGAGGAACTTGATCCCTAGTAATATATAAAAAATGTAGAGGTGTAGCAATCAATGGTAGCAATAGACAGGGTCTGACTTTAATTACTATTGATTATTTCTGAACACAGGCGATCCCCTCACGTGTTCCAGGTTCCAGAGTAGTTGATGCCTGCCTGTCTCCCATCCAGTTAATTATTCTTCATCACTTCATCAATCCACGAGACAAACCTGGACACACGGACATAAACCCCAGGCTTGTTGGGCCTTGCACAGCCCAGACCCCAGGAAGTGACTCCTTGTAAGACGTATTTGTCCTTCTCGAAGCAAACCAGAGGTCCTCCACTGTCACCCTAGAGAGAGGTGGAGGAGACGCAGGTGAAGCTGAGAGCACCATCATCTTCATGGGGGGGTCCCGTCCTCATCCACATGTAAGGTTTCCCACTATCTGACAACCCCTTCCCTATCAGGCGGTGCATCAACTGACCCATGCTGTACTCAAGTACTCAGCGCAACATCTTCCAAATAAATGGCACCAAGTAGCTTTTCCTGAGGAGGGAGGAATCCCCGAATGCGGTACCCATTCCTTATTGGGGGGTGGGGGGCGGCGGAGGGGTGCGGTTCTCTTAGCCAGGGCGAACCCCAAGCCCAGAGGTAAATTACAGTGATTGGGTCCTGCCCTGCTTTCCCTTTCTCCTTCCCTATTCGCAACCCCATCATCCCAGTCCCAGTCTCCACATTTCAGGAAACACATGGTTGATGGTAGTGACAGAAGCCGCCCCAGCCTCTTACTCCTGCTCTGGACCACGGTCCGGTCCATCAGTCAGCGGGCCGCACCGTGGGCGCCACATGTTGCTGCGAGCTCAGCCATTAGTCTTTCAGACACTAGCCATGTCATCCATGGTGGGTAGGTTTTTTTACAGAAGCTTCCAGATTTAGACAGTGGGAAGAAAGGCCTGAGAACCTATTTCAGGCAATTAGCCGATGAAAGCCCTATGGATTACGACAGCATGCTGTTCGTTTTGGCACTAGAAGAGTTCTTAGGTTGGAAGGCACTCGCTGCCGACAATGGACTTGAGCTAACCAACGTCATGTTTCATTGTGTTAAGCACGGGTCATCATGAGTCAGAGCTGACTGGATGGCAATTAAGAACCATCGGTCTCGAATTCAAGAGCCAAGAAATCACCTTGGCTTACCTAAATGCGTTTTTTGGGGCCATCCTTCAAAGAGTTTCTGGGAAACCTTTGACAGACCCTTGTTGAACTTGGCACTTTGGGGCTGAGACAAGCATCAGCTCACACGGTCACTTCCCTCTCTGCTTACCTGGCAGCTGTCCGCCCCTCCGGTCAATAGCCCAGCACAGAGCTCACTGGTCTTAACTCTTCCGTTCAGATACTCATAGCGATTACACACTTTATTCTCAATCACGGGGAGCTGAGCTTCTTTGAGAAGGCCGGCCCCGAAAGTGCCTGCGTAGACAGAAATCAAAGAACAGTCACAGGGTCCCCAAAACCTGTTCACAAGAAAACTTCCAGAGCAGCCGCGGCCATGTGAGAGAGCTCTTTGTGTCCGTGAGACTGGACAGCCACCGAGTCAGTCCCTAACATGACTAGAATTCTTTTTTCTCCCTGGTCCTGAAAGTGTAAGTGTTAGATAAAATGTTTTCATGATCCCAGAGAGTGGGGTTTAGCCACGTGAGTTTCCTTGGGGTGAATTGTGGTTTATTTGGTTTTTCAAGTTGCTGTTATTGTTTTCTTTTAAAACTATAACCAAATAATTTTTAATATGTAAAGAACGTTTGGAAAACACAGCTGCTACTGTGTTTACAGATCCTCTTTCAGGATTTACAGAGGCTCATTTTGCTACCTAGCCTCTTGTACAATGTCACATCCTGATCTTTGTTTTCACTGAAGGGCTTTGCCTGCTGTTCCAGCCTCCTCGGTTCGTATTTTAAGGCCTACATCGTAGCCGAGGCAGTAGGGGTGCTGCCACGTGTGTTTCAGAAAACTCGCCCTCCCAATGTGGCGCCGCTAGACTGGGCATCTGAAGAAAACGAAGTCAAAAACTCACTGCCATCGAGCCGATGCCAACTCATAGCGACCCTCCAGGACAGGGTAGAACTGCCCCTGTGGGTTTCTGAGACAGTAAATCCTTACGAGAGTAGAAAATCTCATCTTTCCCTCTCAGAGTGGCTGATGTTTTCGAACTGCTGACCTTGTGGTTAGCAGCCCAAAGCAGAGCCCCAGGGCTCCTTCAAGGGGATATTATTCCGGCATAAAAAGGAAGGATGTTCTCATACAGGCTGCAGCCTGAATGGACATTGAAAATCTTATTTTTTAAAAAGAACGTCTCATTACGTGAAATCGGCCAGGCACAAAAGGCCGGACGTGAAATGATTCCACATAGAGGATTGATCCCAACGCCTTGGAGACGGAAAGCAGTGCCGTGGCTGCCAAAGACGGCAGGCAGGGAAGAATAGGATGACGCCGCTTCCTGGGGACCCGGGCTTTCCTTTGGAGTGAGGGAGATGTTCTGGAAAGAGCGGTGTTAGCTGCACAGCATAGTCCATTTTATGGTCTGTGGATTCTGCCGTGATAAAATGAGTCTTAGCATTCACTGAGAGTTCTCTTTTTTCCGGTGCAAACACATCACACGCTGTCCCCAAGCTCAGTCCGCATAACAGCCCTCTGTAGCAGGCCTCTGTCTGATCAGGACTGCTTCCTGCTGCATACTAAATCTTACCAGATGGTGGCGCTGGGATTTGAACCCTGGTCTGTGGCCACCTGGCCCACAGGTCTTCATCATCTTACTCTCCGGCTCCTACTGTGGCTTCCAGCTTGGCACATCTCAGTTCACCCTTCGTCGTTTCTTAAATCTCTGGGGCCTGTTTGTTCATTTTCTACACAGCGTGCCCCCGCCCCGACCCCCGGTGAAGAATAAAATTGTCTCATAGCGTCTTCCGAGCTGCTGCCTCGGTTGCTGACTCTTCTGAAGAGCCACAGGGTGGGGGTGGAAACAGCAACTTGTGGGTGAGCAGCTAAGTATTTCATCATTGTACCAATGAATTCCCAGAAATTGTACAGACATATTTATGGCTCCCAGTGCCGCTGCCAAGTTGTTTGCCCCAAGGGTGAGCCACTGTAAAATATCACTGACCGCACACACCCTGATGGCTATTCGGTATGTCTTTTCTTAAAAAAATAATGGCTAATATAGGAAGGGGAAAGAGTCTGAGTCCAGTTTTGACATTTATACACCTTACTAATTCAGGAGCAAGACCATTTTCCCCGGTGACCAGTCTATTAGGGATGTATCTCCTTCTGTGCAAATCACTTTGGGCAAATAGAGAGCATCCACAGTCTCCTGAGGAAATGTGATTTTTCCATATGGCCACACTCAGTGGTAGTGTGTGTGTATCCTGTTTTTTTTTTTTTTTTTGGCAAGCTCAGCCTTCACCAGAGTTTTGTGGAAAATGGTTTGTTCATCTCCACCAGCCAAGGAACGGTGGTTCTCTTTCTTCTACCGAGATTTGAAAGAAATCTAGCAAATTTCCTTGAGTTCAGAAAACTGAACGACCGAGCTAGAGAGTTTGTGGCATGGAAGTGGACCCGCCACTTGGAAAGAAGAGGTTTGTCTGAGCTTGCCCTCCAACCCAGAACACAGACACTCGGGTCCAGGCACTGCAGAGGAAGGTCCTGACCACGCTCGCACGCGTCCTGTGGGGTGGCGCCGGCTTGACCTGAGTCTCAGCGAGGAAGGAGCAGCCTTCTCAGCTGGTTTGCTGCAGGCTAACTGACCTGGTCTCACCACTGCTTTATCTGCTGCTGAGCAAGGCTAAGCGTTCTGAGGCTACTCATCAACCGCTGTGTAAGGGGCGGAGATGGTCCAGGTCTAGCGGTAAAGGCTACTTCTGTAAACCTTGAAAATCCGGTGGAGGGAAGCTCCCCTGGGGGCCGTGACTGGTTGGATGCAGTTCGTGGGGAGATGCTGCCGCCAGGTGGCTGAGGTGGCACATTGCTAGAGGCTGAGCGGAAGCCGGGGATGGATGGACGCCCTTGAGGGCTTTATAAGGAGGGAAACAAGCGAAGCAGCGTGTCCAGCAGCGGATGCCTTCAAGTCATGCCTGATCGACACTAACCTGAAGGAGCATCTCAACCTCAGGTCTTGGGGTGTGTGTGTGTGTGTGGTCTTGGGATGTGTGTGTGTGTGTGTGTGTGTAATATCAACCTGAAGGAGCATCTCAACCTCAGGTCTTGGGGTGTGTGTGTGTGTGTGTGTGTGTGTGTGTAATATCAACCTCAGGGGGCGTTTTGTAGACACACAAAGGGAATTTTGAGACCATCCAGGGTGATGTGTGTGGCTTCCTGGTTCAGTTAAACCTTTGCAAAGTGTTTTCTGGATAGTCACGTGGTGACTAATCGTCTTCACACTTTGAAAGGTGTGCTAGTCAGCATGCGCAGGTGAGCTTCATTTGCACTGATCCGGGCTGCCGGGCAGCTGCTCCCTCCGCCTCTATCCTTGCAGACTCAGAAGTGTGGGAAGGGGGACCATGGGGAGTCAGGAAGGTAGGTGTGAAGAAA